GTTCGTCGTTCGTTCGTTCGTTCGTTACGGATTGTACATCGTTCGTTTCAGTTCGTTAGTTCGTTCGTTCGTTCGTTAGTTCGTTCGTTCGTTCGGTGCGTTCGTTCGTTCGTTCGTTACGTTCGTTAGTTCGTATCGTTCGTTTCTTCGTTAGTTCCGTTCGTTCCGTTCGTTCGGTTAGTTCGTTGCGTTCGTTAGTTCGTTCGGTTCGTTAGTTCGTTCGTTGTTCGTTTCGCGTTCGTTTACGTTTCGGTTCTTCTTCGTTCGTTCGTTCGATTCGTTCTTATTCGTTCGTTCTCGTTCGTTCGTTCGTTCGTTAGTCCGTTCGTTCGTTCGTTCGTTCGTTCGTTTCGCTTCGTTTCGTTCGTTCGTTCGTTCGTTCGTTCGTTCGTTCGTTCGTTCGTTCGTTTCGTTCGTTTCGTTCGTTCGTTCGTCGTTCGTTCGTTCGTTCTTCGTTCGTTCGTTTAGTTCGTTCGTTCGTTCGTTCGTTCGTTCGTTCGTTCGTTCGTTCGTTCGTTCGTTCGTTCGTTTTCGTTCGTTCGTTCGTTCGTTTCGTTCGTTCGTTCGTTCGTTCGTTCGTTCGTTCGTTCGTTCGTTTCGTTCGTTCGTTCGTTCGTTCGTTTCGTTCGTTCGTTCGTTCTTCGTTCGTTCGTTCGTTCGTTCGTTGTTCGTTCGTTCGTTCGTTCGTTCGTTTCGTTCGTTCGTTCGTTCGTTCGTTCGTTCGTTTCGTTCGTTCGTTCGTTCGTTCGTTCGTTCGTTCGTTCGTTCGTTCGTTCGTTCGTTCGTTCGTTCGTTCGTTCGTTCGTTTCGTTCGTTCGTTCGTTCGTTCGTTCGTTTCGTTCGTTCGTTCGTTCGTTCGTTCGTTCGTTCGTTTCGTTCGTTCGTTCGTTCGTTCGTTCGTTCGTTCGTTCGTTGTTCGTTCGTTCGTTCGTTTCGTTCTTCGTTCGTTCGTTCGTTCGTTCGTTCGTTCGTTCGTTCGTTCGTTCGTTCGTTCGTTCGTTCGTTCGTTCGTTCGTTTCGTTTTCGTTCGTTCGTTCGTTCGTTCGTTCGTTCGTTCGTTCGTTCGTTCGTTCTTTCGTTCGTTCGTTCGTTCGTTCGTTCGTTCGTTCGTTCGTTCGTTCGTTCGTTTTCGTTCGTTCGTTTCGTTCGTTCGTTTCGTTTCGTTCGTTCGTTCGTTCGTTCGTTCGTTCGTTCGTTCGTTCGTTCGTTCGTTCGTTCGTTCGTTCGTTCGTTCGTTTCGTTCGTTCGTTTCGTTCGTTCGTTCGTTCTTCGTTCGTTCGTTTCGTTCGTTCGTTCGTTCGTTTCGTTCGTTTTTCGTTCGTTCGTTTTCGTTCGTTCGTTCGTTTCGTTCGTTCGTTCTTCGTTCGTTTCGTTCGTTCGTTCGTTCTTTCGTTCGTTCGTTTCGTTCGTTCGTTCGTTCGTTCGTTCGTTCGTTCGTTCGTTCTTTCGTTCGTTTTTCGTTCGTTCGTTCGTTTGTTCGTTCGTTCTCGTTCGTTCGTTTCGTTCGTTCGTTCGTTCGTTCGTTCGTTTCGTTCGTTCGTTTCGTTTCGTTCGTTCTTCGTTCGTTCGTTCGTTCGTTCGTTCGTTCGTTCGTTCGTTCGTTCGTTCGTTCGTTCGTTCTTCGTTCGTTTCGTTCGTTCGTTCGTTCGTTCGTTCGTTCTTTCGTTCGTTCGTTCTTTCGTTCGTTCGTTCGTTCGTTCGTTCGTTCGTTCGTTCGTTTCTTCGTTCGTTCGTTCGTTTTCGTTCGTTCGTTTCGTTCGTTCGTTCGTTCGTTCGTTCGTTCGTCGTTCGTTCGTTTTCGTTCGTTCGTTTTCGTTCGTTCGTTCGTTCGTTCGTTCGTGTTCGTTCGTTCGTTCGTTCGTTCGTTGTTCGTTTGTTCTTAGTTTTCGTTGTAGTTCGTTAGTTAGTTCGTTTGTTCGTTCGTTCGTTGTTCGTTTGCTGTGTTCGTTTAGTTCTTCTTCGTCTGTTCGTTTTGCTCCTCGTTTGTTTTTTTCGTATTCGTTCTTGTTCCCATTTTTGTCCTTCGTTTGCATCGTTGCCTTTTCCTTCCGTCCCCCGACGTTTTTTTTTTTGGCTTCCCTTTCCCACACGTTCGACGTTTTTTTTGCTTTCCATACAAAATCGACTGATACATAAAATTATTAATTCGAACATGGGGAAAAAGTGTACTCACCGACGAAATAATTCGCTTTCCGAATGTCCAGCTGCAAATCGTGCCTTCTTTCACAACATTGGTATTGTAAGGGCGTACGTGTTACCAACAGCACCATAGGTATATAAAATGCCACCAAAGAACCAAATACAAAAAAAAAAAAAAATTCACGATTTTTATTGACACAAGCATTTGACTGGGGCATGATGTTTTTTTCATTTACAAGACCTTGAACGAAAAAAGTGTAACACACAATAAGAGGCCATAAATAAAAGGTAATCAAAGGACGAATAAAATCCTTTGTTAAACATTAATTCAATATCAATAACAAGTAATTAAAAAGCCAAAAAAAAACGAAAATAAAGTAACATAAAAAAGAAAGAACAATTTTGAATTAAAGAAATATAATTCAAAAGAGACTCACCAATTTTGGATTGTTATCCATTACTATATACTTATGTAAAATGTCACTGAAACATAAACGACATCTCCTTTATACGTACAAAAGACAACACAATGAAAAGAAAGAAAATACAAAATAAAATATTGAATATTTACCCAATACTCTTATAGAGCTGAATACAATCATGGCCATTACCCAGACAATGGTAATTTTCATGCCAGCCAAAGTTTCGTTGAACAATGCCGTGAACCCAGTGTATTTCGTATTCCCAAATAACGATCCAAACTGATGAAGCACATATGCAGGATGCTCGATTTACATGCCATAACATCACAGGTCAAATATATATTGCACCATGTAAAACTTAATGGCCAATAACCTGTAAGCAACATGAATATAAAGAGAAATGAAAAACATGACAAATGAATATACAAAAATAATAAAATACAGACATTTGGGGAAGCAAAAAAGGTAGATTAAAATTAATGAATTAAATAATTCGCCTTTAAGCATGGTTTAATTTATGATATTTACTGTACAGTGAGAAGTATGCTGCACATATGTAACATAGCAGTTCGTGTTATTTTGTTACATAATTTAAAGTTTCTTGCTTTAATGAAGTGATCTTCTAAACTAAATAATAAAAAAATATTAAATAAAATAAAAAATATTAATTAACGGTATTATAACTGCTTTTCAGTTTTATATGCCTCCATTTATAATAGTACTATTCAAATATGTTGCACTTATTTTCGTATTTCGAGGATCAAAAACAAATAATGTTTAAATTGGCAAATTTTTTTTGTGAAGCCGTTATATGAACCCTGAATAATAGGATTGGCTTTTGATATTCTAACCAATTTTATCTCTGAAAATTAATTTAATTAAATCAATGCAGAATAAAGACCATAGTTGTGGAATAAAATAAAATACATTCTATGTCTGTTACAGAGAAAAAGGTGTTGAAAAGGAAAACTATAAAATGTGTACGTTGACATGGGCGAAAAAAACCACAAAACAGAATTATAAATGATTTTTAAGAAATACTAACTAACTAACTAACTAACTAACTAACTAACTAACTAACTAACTAACTAACTAACTAACTAACTAACTAACTAACTAACTAACTAACTAACTAACTAACTAACTAACTAACTAACTAACTAACTAACTAACTAACTAACTAACTAACTAACTAACTAACTAACTAACTAACTAACTAACTACTAACTAACTAACTAACTAACTAACTAACTAACTACTACTACTAACTAACTAACTAACTAACTAACTAACTAACTAACTAACTAACTAACTAACTAACTAACTAACTAACTAACTAACTAACTAACTAACTAACTAACTAACTAACTAACTAACTAACTAACTAACTAACTAACTAACTAACTAACTAACTACTAACTAACTAACTAACTAACTAACTAACTAACTAACTAACTAACTAACTAACTAACTAACTAACTAACTAACTAACTAACTAACTAACTAACTAACTAACTAACTAACTAACTAACTAACTAACTAACTAACTAACTAACTAACTAACTAACTAACTAACTAACTACTAACTAACTAACTAACTAACTAACTAACTAACTAACTAACTAACTAACTAACTAACTAACTAACTAACTAACTACTAACTAACTAACTAACTAACTAACTAACTAACTAACTAACTAACTAACTAACTAACTAACTAACTAACTAACTAACTAACTAACTAACTAACTAACTAACTAACTAACTAACTAACTAACTAACTAACTAACTAACTAACTAACTAACTAACTAACTAACTAACTAACTAACTAACTAACTAACTAACTAACTACTAACTACTAACTAACTACTAACTAACTACTAACTAACTAACTAACTAACTAACTAACTAACTAACTAACTACTAACTAACTAACTAACTAACTAACTAACTAACTACTACTAACTAACTAACTAACTAACTAACTAACTAACTAACTAACTAACTAACTAACTAACTAACTAACTACTAACTAACTAACTAACTAACTAACTAACTACTAACTAACTAACTAACTACTAACTAACTAACTAACTAACTAACTAACTAACTAACTAACTAACTAACTAACTAACTAACTAACTAACTAACTAACTAACTACTAACTAACTAACTAACTAACTAACTAACTACTAACTACTAACTAACTAACTAACTAACTAACTAACTAACTAACTAACTAACTAACTAACTACCTAACTAACTAACTAACTAACTAACTAACTAACTAAAACAACTAACTAACTAACTAACAGAACTAAACTAACTAACTAACTAACTAACTAACTAACAAACTAACTAAACTAACTACCTAACTAACTACCTAAACTAAACTAACTAACTAAATACTAACTACCTCACTAACTAACTAACAGATTACATGCTCTTTTATCAATGATTTTAAGCACATACATACCCTGGGGAGTCATATGAAACAAAAAGTTATACATACATTACTTTTCTTTTGATTTACATTAAATTTTCTATAAAATGATCACAACATTTTCTTAGAATTTTTAAAAAATGTACATATTTAAATTAAGCACTTAATTAAAAATTTAAGCATCTGCACAATGCAATTTTCTTAAAGCTTATAATTAAATTTAAAAAAGTCTACTCTATTAGGATTCATATTGCCAAACATATCGAATACAACTGTTAATTTCAATTATATATGAATAAATTCCTAGAAGCTAATTTGTTTGTAACACAGACAAAGATAAAAAACTGCTTATAAGTGTCTTTAATAAAATAATAACAGAATCAAACTACACACCTATATACTGTGTAATACTTAAAGCCATGTTAACATGACATGCTGAAACACACGTTAAGAAGCTTTCTGTATAAATATTGAAAAGGATAATAAAGAATATCTAAATTTAAACAAGTTTTTTTCTTATTCTTTTTTTAACAAGCTTCAAACAAAAAATTTTCATGAGAAGATTTATTTTAGATTTAAATTTAAAAATATTTAAAACAGCTTGAAGTAGCTTAAACAAATTTAAAACAAAATTGTTGCTAAACATAAATAGATTTAATTACATGAATTTGCAAAAGACCTTTTGCAAAGCACTTAAAAATATGCTTTAAATTTATAGTTAGTATTATGTGCAGCAAACAGGAAAAATTAAAACTGAATTAATAAAATTTTCTACAAATTACGAAATTTTATAACTTTCTGTTTGTTTCTCCTTTGTTTTGGATATACGATAAAAAACATATTTATTTTAAAATTGATTTATTTACCTGCATTGTTTCTGTTTTTCTCTTTTTTCTTGTCTTTTAAACTAAACGTCCTCAACATTCCCAGCAGCAGCTACAGATGCATAGTTGTTTTAGCAGTAATAGCAGTTACAACAAATATTGTCTTGGCGGTAGGGCCAGCGAATGTAATCGTAATTTCAACAATGACTATAATGAAAAACATCAACAACAGCATCCTTACCAGCATCATCGTTCTTCTTCATCCTCCAATTTCTCTAATGGTACTACCACAAGTCGACTGGGAGCGGGAGGAGGCAGTGGTCGTCAATGGCAGCATGCTAATGGCGCTGGGAATCGTGATGAGAATGACGGACCTATTGCTGCTGTCGCCACATCCAACACCTGTCATAGTGGTAGTTCGAATTTTCGTACCGATGTTGTTCGCCATCCATCTTCATTATTTTTACGCAATAAACCCACTACTTTTAAGGCTATAGTTGCATCGCCAACTAACGAATGTAACAATGATAAACTACACATATCACCTCATACACAACAGCACCAAAGCTCTACTTTGACCACCTCATCGTCAGCTTTGCTAACGGCCCACCATCAGGAAACAAATAACTATTGGCGTTCATCGCATGCTGGTAATGCGAATCTAATGGATAGGTAGGTTTATAGAACAGTTTTTTGCTGCTGGCTTCTCGTTTTTGTTGTTCTCATCTTCATTATAGTTTTTCTCTATAAAGTTGGGCAAGAAGTAAGAAAGTAAAACTAAAAGTTTAACATGATCAAGAATAATGACTGTTGAAAAGCTGGCGACATATGAATAACGAACGGGTTGTTTTCTGTGTTTTTTATTATTTTATAAAAATCTATTTTCAATTATGTGGTTCTTTGGATGTCAAATTATCTAGAACATGGTGTAATAAATACACCTGAGTTATAATAAGTAATTAAAATTGTTAAAATAAAAGTGGAAAAAACTCAGTTCCAGTTCAGTTCTAGTTCAGTTCTAGTTCAGTTCTAGTTCAGTTTCTAGTTCAGTTCTAGTTCAGTTCTAGTTCAGTTCTAGTTCAGTTCTAGTTCAGTTCTAGTTCAGTTCTAGTTCAGTTCTAGTTCAGTTCTAGTTCAGTTCTAGTTCAGGTTCTAGTTCAGTTCTAGTTCAGTTCTAGTTCAGTTCTAGTTCAGTTCTAGTTCAGTTCTAGTTCAGTTCTAGTTCAGTTCTAGTTCAGTTCTTGTTCAGTTCTTGTTCAGTTCTAGTTCAGTTCTAGTTCAGTTCTAGTTCAGTTCTAGTTCAGTTCTAGTTCAGTTCTAGTTCAGTTCTAGTTCAGTTCTAGTTTCAGTTCAGTAAGTTCAGTTCTAGTTCAGTTCTAGTTCAGTTCTAGTTCAGTTCTAGTTCAGTTCTAGTTCAGTTCTAGTTCAGTTCTAGTTCAGTTCTAGTTCAGTTCTAGTTCATTCTAGTTCAGTTCTAGTTCAGTTCTAGTTCAGTTCTAGTTCAGTTCTAGTTCAGTTCTAGTTCAGTTCTAGTTCAGTTCTAGTTCAGTTCTAGTTCAGTTCTAGTTCAGTTCTAGTTCAGTTCTAGTTCAGTTCTAGTTCAGTTCTAGTTCAGTTCTAGTTCAGTTCTAGTTCAGTTCTAGTTCAGTTCTAGTTCAGTTCTAGTTCAGTTCTAGTTCAGTTCTAGTTCAGTTCTAGTTCAGTTCTAGTTCTAGTTCAGTTCTAGTTCAGTTCTAGTTCAGTTCTAGTTCAGTTCTAGTTCAGTTCTAGTTCTAGTTCAGTTCTAGTTCAGTTCTAGTTCAGTTCTAGTTCAGTTCTAGTTCAGTTCTAGTTCAGTTCTAGTTCAGTTCTAGTTCAGTTCTAGTTCAGTTCTAGTTCAGTTCTAGTTCAGTTCTAGTTCAGTTCTAGTTCAGTTCTAGTTCAGTTCTAGTTCAGTTCTAGTTCAGTTCTAGTTCAGTTCTAGTTCAGTTCTAGTTCAGTTCTAGTTCAGTTCTAGTTCAGTTCTAGTTCAGTTCTAGTTCAGTTCTAGTTCTAGTTTAGTTCTAGTTCAGTTCTAGTTCTAGTTCAGTTCTAGTTCAGTTCTAGTTCAGTTCTAGTTCGAGTTCTAGTTCAGTTCTAGTTGAGTTCTAGTTCAGTTCTAGTTCAGTTCTAGTTCAGTTCTAGTTCAGTTCTAGTTCAGTTCTAGTTCAGTTCTAGTTCAGTTCTAGTTCAGTTCTAGTTCAGTTCTAGTTCAGTTCTAGTTCAGTTCTAGTTCAGTTCTAGTTCAGTTCTAGTTCAGTTCTAGTTCAGTTCTAGTTCAGTTCTAGTTCCGTCTAGTTCAGTTCTAGTTCAGTTCTAGTTCTAGTTCAGTTCTAGTTCAGTTCTAGTTCAGTTTCTAGTTCAGTTCTAGTTCAGTTCTAGTCAGTTTAGTCTCAGTTCTAGTTCAGTTCTAGTTCAGTTCTAGTTCAGTTCTAGTTCAGTTCTAGTTCAGTTCTAGTTCTAGTTCAGTTCTAGTTCAGTTCTAGTTCAGTTCTAGTTCAGTTCTAGTTCAGTTCTAGTTCAGTTCTAGTTCAGTTCTAGTTCAGGAGTAATTGGACTTCTTTTTCGCTTCTTTGCAAGTTCTTTTTTTTCTGGGTATGTAAGCCATTGTCATGTAGTATTTTTTATTGTTTTTCTTACTTTTGGTATTTTATTTATATAATGGTTTCTCCTCCTTTTAAACTGTCATATTTTTAAAATCAAAATTAATGCTTTATAATATATGAAATTTCATCCCTTTATGCACCAATGCATGAACTTGCTACAATACAAATGCAATAGTAAATTTTCAATAAATTGAGGTCTCTAATTTAATAGTTTTTGCAAATCTTAATATGTATAGTTACGAAAAAATTAAATATTAGTTAATAGAAGAATACTGACTTTCAATTAAATCAAATCGTAATTTACTTTGCTGTGTATAGAGGGTGCATAATAATTAAAAGAATTTAAAACTACTAAACAATAGTTTATTTATAAATTATAAATAAACTATTGTTTAGTAGTTCGTTTTAAAAAATATTTATTATAAATTATAATAAATATTTTTTAAAACGAGTTTAAATTAAGTAATTCCCCTGTATAAATACTAAAGCTGTTTTCTTTTTCTCTCATGAGTTAAAATGGTTTTCACACTAGGAAAAATATTTGAAAAAAAAGAGAATTTGAAGGGTTTATAAAAACACGTATGAAAATATTTATAAGCAAACATGTTCACAAAATGCAGTTGCGTTTCATACTTCATTGAAATTTGAATATACATGTGTGTAGTAGTTGTTAGAAATTTATGAGTCATTGAAGTCATAAATAAATTTAAAATATTTGTAAATAAAATGTAAAATTTTTAGTGAATTTAATAAAGCTTAACTAAATATCTCTTCAAACAATAATGAGCTATTGAGCTATATTCCATTAAAAATACGATCTTTGAACTCAGACGTAAAAAGTTCAATATTTTCACATGCTTTTCATAAGGCCAACATTTAATTTTTTCTTAAAAATTTTGACCTTTGACCCCAATTAATAAATTCGCAATAGAAAACATAAATAGCAAAAAAAATATTTTAACAAATTCAATAAATTTTAAAGATGTTTATTGACAATTTACAATGTAATTATAGAAAATACAGCCTTTAGATACAGGCTGTTATTTAGCGCATTTTAACTATTTCCAAAAAATGTATATTTCAATTTTTAAGCACAGTGGGAAAGACTATAAAATTGCGAGTTATTTTTCATAAATAATTATTCTTTTCACATTTAAAGTTTCTATACTGTACATTTTCAAATATTATCGAAAGTATGTATGTATTATCCTTTAAGCCTTCAACTTTAAAAAAAATTAAAATTTTTCTACCAATGAAATATGGTACAAATACCTTCATTCACTATAATATTTATCTGTTTATTATGTTCCTTAAAATGTTTGTTTCATCATGATACTGCCCCTAACATTTTATCATATAATAGTGATAGTTTGTTGGTAATCTTGACAAGCAGAACAAGTGAGAGTGAGAGAGATAGAGGGAGGAAAAACTATTAAATTCAAATGATGATAATAAGTACTTGTAATGTAGTAGTGGTTGTAAAAATAAAAATATTTCGTTGCATAACAATAAAATAACCATTACTAGTAAGAAAATATTCAACATCCTTATGCCCGAGAATAGTGTAACATTATTATCATATTTAAACACACATAAAAAGATATTACTTTCATAATCATATGCTGGATATTTTTATATAAATTATATACAAATATTTTTACATATTTCAAGTAGTTTTATGTGCCACAAGAGATATTAAGTAACTTGCATTATTTTTATTTCATTTATACAAAAGCAAATGCTAAACAAGTAAGAAATTATAGTCGGGCGAGGCCGACCATATAATACCCTACACCTTTGACAAAAATATAATGTGATTTATTTGCCATACGTAAGCCGTTTATTGTTGAATAAAATTGTGGATATTTAAGTGAAATTTTGATGGGGGCTTTTCATAGGGGCTAGGGTCATATGAGGACCTATTATTATGGAATTCGTGAGGGTCATCAAATCTTGTATAGAACTTGGTTTTTGCAACTTTTTGTCGAGATATGAGTATATTAAACATAATTATGAACTTAAAAGCCCTATTCGGGGGGTTCAGTCGTATGGGAGCTAGGTGAAATAATGGACCGATGTTACCCATTTTCAATAGACTTTGTCTACGGTACCATAAAAGATCACGTGCCAAATTTCATTGAATTATCTCCAAAATTGCGACCTGTAGTTTGATTACAAAGTTTAAACGCCCTATTTGGGGGGTTCAGTCATATGGAGGCTAGGAGAAATAATGAACCGATGTTAACCATTTTCAATAGGCTTCGTCCCTACGACAATAGAAGATCATGTACCAAATTTCATTGAATTATCTTCAAAATTGCGACCTGTAATTTGATTACAAGGTTTACATGGACGGACGGACATAGCTAAATCGACTCAGAAAATGATTCTGAGCCGATTGGTATACTTTAAGGTGGGTATAGGACCAATATTATTGTGCGTTACAAAGATCAGCACAAACCCAATATACCCTCCCCACTGAAGTGGTGTAGGGTATAATGAGATTTTTATGGTAACAAAGCTGTTTCTAGTCATAATCTATGTAATTGTTCAGGTATTATAGAAATTATAGTCGGGCGAGGCCGACCATATAATACCCTACACCTTTAACAAAAATATAATGTGATTTAGTTGCCATAATAAAGCATTTAAGTTGAATTGTACCTCGCCTTAGGTATATATAAGCCGTTTATTGTTGAATAAAATTGTGGACATTTAAGTAAAATTTTGATGGGGGCTTTTCATAGGGGCTAGGGTCATATGAGAACCTATTATTATGGAATTCGTGGGGGTCATCAAGTCTTGTATACAACTTGGTTATTGCAGCTTTTTGTCGAGATATGAGTATATTAAACATAATTATGAACTTAAAAGCCCTATTCGGCGGATTCAGTTGTATGGGGGCTAGGTGAAATAATGGACCGATGTAAACCATTTTCAACAGGCTTTATCTACGGTACCATAAAAGATCATGTGCCAAATCTCATTGAATTATCTCCAAAATTGCGACCTGTAGTTTACAAGTTTTAAAAGCCCTATTCGGGGGTTCAGTTGTATGGGGGCTAGGTGAAATAATGGACCGATTGTAACCATTTTCAACAGGATTTGTCTACGGTACCATAAAAGATCATGTGCCAAATTTCATTGAATTATCTCCAAAATTGCGACCTGTAGTTTGATTACAAGTTTTAAAAGCCCTATTCGGGGGTTCAGTTGTATGGGGGCTAGGTGAAATAATGGACCGATGGTAACCATTTTCAATAGGCTTCGTCTACGGTACCATAAAAGATCATTTGCCAAATTTCATTGCATTATCTCCATAATTGCGACCTGTAGTTTGATTACAAGTTTTAAAAGCCCTTTTCGGGGGTTCAGTTGTATGGGGGCTAGGTGAAATAATGGACCGAGCTTAACCATTTTCAATAGGCTTCGTCCCTGGTACAATAGAAGATCATGTACCAAATTTCATTGAATTATCTTCAAAATTGCGACCTGTAGTTTGATTACAAGGTTTACATGGACGGACGGACAGACGGACATAGCTAAATCGACTCAGAAAATGATTCTGAGCCGATTGGTATACTTTAAGGTGGGTATAGGACCAATATTATTGTGCGTTACAAACATCAGCACAAACCCAATATACCCTCCCCACTAAAGTGGTGTAGGGTATAAATATCCAGTAAATTTTGGCGAAATGTCTTCATTAGCATCTGCGTCGACTTTCTTTTGTCGCTCGTTCGTCGATCATTTATTAATGGTCACAAACATATCGGTGCCGCAAATTTCAGTCTGGTTGTGAATTTATTTGATTTATTATCCTACAAAGACTTCCACTTTGATAAGTATGTGGGACTTTCTTCATATCCATATAACTGAGCCTAAAAGGTTTTCATTCCTTAGAACTTTTTATAAGAGAGGTGTTATAATCGCCCTTTTTATATCTAAATTGGAATGACCCAGTTCTACAACATAGTTATAGCCTCAACTTATAGGTTATATTTATATATTATATTTTTCTACATGCCAAACGATGTCATAATAATAATGACAACGTGGTGTAATGCTTTTGTCACTGACCTTTCCTAAGGTAACACGCTCATCTTAAGGAAGGTACATTGCATTATTTAGTTGAAGGGAACATATTTTCTGAATACACAGATAGACCTCCAACGTATAAGTTAGCTCCGGCTGAAAAGAAAATTATTTACCGGATAATTTAATAAATGTTATAGGTGGTCCAACGGTCATTTTCAAACTGTTGGGATGTTGGATGAATCATTCAGTCATTTACTAACTTACATATGTATTTATATATGTAGACATTCGATATAATTCGCATTCTCTCAAAAAACGCCATTAACAATTTTATTAACACAAAGAAATTTAATACACTGAAATAGTGGTATAGTACTACTCATGTTAACAACTAGTTAGACATACATACACAGTTATAACAACACATCTTTACTACTGCATATAGTAAAGTCACAAGCAATAATATATTAACTCAAAAATTTTTGTTAATTTCATTTCAGAAAACTTTATTAAAGTCAATAGAATTTCCCACAAATAAAGTATTGTTTTTATTTTTTTTCTTAAGTCGACTTAATCGATTATCATTTCTGCTTACAGATACATCTATACAACTGTTCTCATGAATAGTTTATTATATGATTTCAACTGAAATTTATTTGAAATAAAAAAGTGTAGTTAAATATTTATATAAATTTTTTGTAGTTGTTTTTATGATATAAATATAGTACATACTAGTATCTGTAATATGATGTTTCTTTTGTATATTTTCAACTGAAATAACAAAAAATATTTTTTATTTTTATTCTGTTAAAACGGTAGATGTGGGTTTCAAACTGTGGCTTTTTTCTGAAAGCTAAATTATGTCGTGTATATACTGCAGTATAACTTTTGTTTGATGCATTATTTATTTTGTAAATGTTATCTAAAACAACAAACAATGCACTTCTAAATAACTAATTAATGCGTAAATTTTGACGAAATATCACATAAAGAATTTTTTTTTTTTATTTTTTTGTTCCAAAATTTTTATAACATATGATACTCTACTTCAGAGTGTTTCGGAAAATGTTCAGATGCTTGTTCTTGCCTTTATTTGTTTGGTGTTTCACATAAACACTTTGACTTTTCTCCATATTTTTCATTTAAAACTTTTTTAATAAAGTCCCTTAAAAAACTAATCATTTGCATTTTTCTCCATTAAATAAAACTGTCCTGAACCTTCTAAATACCACACTTTTCACAAATTGCGTTAAAAACTTTTTAATTAACATTTAAGGAAATCTTAATTTAATTTTTCTAATAAACATTTTAGGTCTCATTACATTTGACCAAAATTTTTAATAACAGAACACAAACAGACAAACTAAGAAAATTAACAATGTCAAACAACATTAACTAACCGCATAATGAATACAATCTTTTGTTTTTTACTTTTTTAAATTTTCTTCCAAACAAAACCAAAACCAGTTTGTCATTCTGTTTGTATTTTCCACAATATAATTTTGCGACCCTATAAAGTATATACTTATATTCTGTCTGTCTATCCGTCTGTCTATCCATCTGTCTGTCTATCCATCTGTCTGTCTATCAAACTGTCTGTCTATTCGACTGTCTGTCCGTCTGTGTGTTTGTTGAAATCATTTTTCTGAAGACCTCAGATATCTTTAGGTTCTAAATCTTCTATAATTCTATCGGATATGTTCTCGAGAAGTTTCCTATATAAAATCAGTAAAATCGGTCCATAAATAACGGAGATATGAGGAAAAATCCGAGACAACCTCTGAAAATTTTCTTCAAAAAATTATAACTGTTGTTTTCTTGAATTCAAAAGCAAGAAAACAACAACGTTCATATTATATTTGCTTATTAACGACTGGAAACAATGACGTATTTAAAACAATTTATGGATGAAATGAGGATTTTTTTTTTTTTTTTTGGAAAAATCAAAAAAGGAAATGTAAGAAAAAACGAATATAGCACTGCAAATGTAGCATATACAACAGTGATGATCTAATTCTATCCATGCAGTTCATTGTTAACTTGACCACAATTCTCAAGAACAAAAATTGAAAACAAAATAGGGACCAAAACAATGATTTGTTCATTACTTTTAATGGCCTAAAAGAAAGAGATAAGAACAGAATGTAGAAGAGAAAAAAATAAACAAAAATATTAAAAAAAATATTTGGCTTTTTACTTAAAAAAATTTATTAAATAAAATAATTAGCATTTCCTTTTTATTGTGCTTTATTTTAAACTTTTATATTTTTAGCAGAAATCTGTATAAATTTAGTTCAATTGTCTGTTTTGTTTACATAAATGACCATTTATTTAAAAAATTGTTTATGTTACAAACAAACTTTCAATTTCCCCACAATTTTAAAACCTTTTGTTTATCTTTCCTGTTAGAATTGAGGTAGTGGCCTGTTTGTAATAAAAAAAATCTTTTTAAATTTTTTCAAAACTTTACTTTAGACTTTTAGTTTGAAGGCTTTTTTCCTATATGTATTTATGAGTGTGTTAGTAAATGAATGTATTTAAGTGCCTTTGGTATTTTTTCTTCCCACAATATGTTTGTATAGTTTATCATTTATATCAACATTTAGCTTGACCATTAGGTTATATAAATTGTTTAAAATTATCTCTTTTCTCTCAAAACTCATTTGCAACAAAACAGTTTTTTTAAGAAACTAAAGTGTATAACTTTAGTTTGGTAAATTTAAAAGTGTTTTTTGTGGTTTTTCTGAGAGCTAAAAACAAATAAAGTATGAGTAAGTTTTAATAAAAAAACGTATGAGTGATATGACTTCATTGTAGAAAATATGGATATCACTCATACGCATAGGTTATAATTTTGAAGATTTTTTGCTTTAATTACATAGTTATGAATAGTACAGAGGTTTATGTGAACTAAAATTTTTATAAATACTGAGACTGTAGATTAGACTATAATTAACAAAATAGACAAAACTTTAGATTATATTAGACTATAGACCTGATTAAAGCACTAAACTTATGATAGATTTTTATCCATATTAGACTAGATCCCAGATTATATACTGCACCATAGTCCAAACTTTTGTTTATAACACAGTCCAAAATTTAGTCCTGGCTATAGACTATAGACTGGATTATTCGATTATTATTCAACTAAGTTAAAACCTCAAAAAAAATATTTATCGCATTAACGGATTAAAACAAAGGCCTACAAAGTTGCTCGACTGAGACTATACCAACTGCATTTCAGAAATTTCTAATTACATTTCAGAAATTTATAATTATACTTTAAAAATTTACAATTCAATGAAAAATTAATTATAAAATTGGATAATTTTTTTATTAATTATGGATTTTACTTTTAACTCTCTTACAGATCACTCTTACGCAATCATGACGTCACCGAGAGATTCAGTACTCTAAGTCTTCCTACAACCTCTGCTTTACTATTTAGTATTTTATATCATGACCATTTAATAACATTGTTCAATAATATTATACAGTTCAACAGAACTAAAACGAAGCCGCGTATTGTTATTTTTTAAGATAGTTTAACTTTCTGAAGACTGATATGTTACCTTGTATAAAATATAATATTCATTGGGAAAGATAGGCATAGGTACTGATCTTAAAAATATTAGTAAATTTAAGAAAATAAATGTTAATTTAAAAGAAAATGAATAATTGCAAAATTTCAAACGTTTAAAAGAAATGGTAAGTTATTAAGTATTCTACCCGATTATTTGCAAAAATACATATTCGTCAAGTGTTATCAATCGAAAATTAAATTAAGATTTAGATTATAAGGTTTAGAACACATTTACCAGCAGATTTTTTGCTCTTAAAAGGTAAGTGAACAAAGTGATTGGAATTCTATGCACTAAAATGAAATGGAGTTAGTATATGTGAATCTCTGTATTTTTTGATGTATCACTGTGTTATCGACTTAATCGAGTAACTTTCATATAAAATTATTAGATTATTAAGCGCTAAAGTTAAAACCTCAAATAATTACCCATGCCAACGAAATTAAGGTTCGTAAAAACCAAATCGACTAATTTTAAGGTATTTTTACTGCTGCAACAGAGTCTGATATCTATCTTTCTCTAACACCCGCAATTTTCTCGCAAAATGTCATTTAATATTTAGTTCATATATTATATTACGTTTAAGGGTTAACTTAGATTTTTTACAATGTCATCATAAAAATGGATCTTGCTTATATAATTTTTCTAAGTTTGATTAAAATCGGTTGAAAAAAGATAATATTTCACTATGGCTAAAACACTTTCTAATTCAGAGCCGTGGTGCCACCAGTTAGCATAATCCTATCATCCGAAATTTTTCCAGAATACACTTTTATAACTTGAAGTTTAAGTCTAAAGAATTGAATATCTGAGACACAAGTATAAAATCAATGGGACTTTTTTAAATACTAGGGTTAGTGAAAATTATTTAAACAGTTTTTTTCACCTTTGGCCTGTGTTATTTAGAGAAAAACCCGATTAAAACAAAAAAACCTACCAAAAATACAAACATTTTGTGGGCGTATGAGTGATATTTGTTTAACAAACTAAATAAATATTTATCATACGCACTGTAGTGTAAGTTCATTGAAATATAGTAAGACATTCATACTAATGAGTTACAAATTATGAATATGTATATAAATACAATCTAAGAATTGAAAAGAAAGCATTCGCATTACTAAAAACAACTTTAAAGCCTAATAAGAAACGTAAAAGCTTAGAATGCACTTTTATAACTTGAAGTTTAAGTCTAGAGGTAGAGATAGTCAATATGCGTAAAATTAAAGAACTGATTATTACAAACACAAGTATAAATCACTGTTTCTAAAATATCAAAATGTAAAATATTGCTGAGTGATACGACTTTTCTATTGTCATTTTCAGGATCAGCACACCAAATAATACTAGGATTAGTGAAAATTATTTAAAAAGTTCTTTTCATCTTTGGCTTGATGTGTTATTTATAGAAAACCACGATTAAAACAATCAACCTACCACAAATACAAACACTTTGTGTGCGTATGAGTGATATGTATTTAACGAATTAAATAAATATTTAACATACGCACTGTAGTGCAAGTGCATGGAATTATTTTAAGACATTCATACTGATGAGTATTAAATTATAAATATGTGTACAAATAAAAGCAAAAGCGCCTTACAATTCAACAATTGAAATGAAAGTACTCTCATTACTAAAAATAACTTTAAAACTAAATAAGAAACGTATTATCTGGTTATTCATTATTGTAAATAAAAAAATTCAATAAATATTTATACCCTAGCACTTCAGTGGGGAGGGTATATTGGGTTTGTGCTGATGTTTGTAACATACAAAAATATTTGTCCTATACCCACCTTAGAATCGTTTTCTGAATCGATTAAGCTATGTCCGTCCGTCTGGCTAGCTGTCCATGTAAACCTTGTGCGCAAGGTACAGGTCGCAATTTTCTAGATAATTGGACGATAATTGGTAAACACGCAAGGACGAAGCCTATTGAAAATGGTTAAAATCGGTCCATTATTTCACAGAACCCCCCAAAAAGGGCTTCTAAGCTCATAATTATGTTAAATATACCTGTGCATGATGACCTTGCCAAATTTCATAAAGATCGGGTCTCAATTGACCCTAGCTCCCATACAAAGTCCCCTTCAGAAAATTACTTGAATGTCCAAATTTGACTTATAAACTCAAATATCGCTATGAAATTCAGCACAAATAAATATTATATAAATATAAATATATTCACAAAACTTTATCGGGCTTCATCCATATTTGACTCTAGCACCCAAATATAAACATCTTTCAGAAAATTAGTTTTTCATCCATAATAAAAGAAGGTAATATTGAAGATAAATGCTTTATTATGAAAAATAAATCACATTTATAACTGGTGTTGGGTATCATATGGTCGGTCACGCCCGACTATACTTTCTTACTGGTTTTATTTTTAATATATTTTAGGAATCGAATCAATTAAAATTGTACTGCCTTATTCATAAACATTTATCAAAGGTTTATAGAACTAATTTTCTACGAAAATTTGAGTTAAAAACCTTTGATAATAGTTTATGAATATGAGCCTTAATGTATAAACACAAGTTAAATTATTGTTAACCAATAATTGTATCTATAGCGGAGATATTATAAGAAGAACCTATTTTTGGAAATACAAAAAACACTACCAGTAACGGCAATAATTACATATATAAATCTGTTTCTTATGCCTCAATAAATAAAAGCTTAAAATGTATATACAAACCATTAGATTTCTATAATTCATTTAACGAGCAAAACTAAATAAATATAACACTTCATTAATCATTACTGAATTATTTTGTTGATTCAAATTTAACACACAAAGTTTTCTATTCACAAACAAACAAAATAACTTTATTTGTATCATGATTAGTCGCTGTGTTGAATAATAATAACAAATAGAACGAAAAAGACAAATTACTTATCAAGTTTAATTGTTAAAAATACACTATTAATTACAAAAGTTTAGATGAGACAATCACAGAAACATATGTTCAAATGAATGTTTAAAAAATTTGCTAAATAATTGACATATCACAAAGACTTTTCTGTTAATGTCTACTACGTGCTACCTTTTAAGGTAGAATTTCCCAATGCATTTTAAGCTATCATTCGTATAGAAATTATAAGAATTCACATAAGAGAACATCGATAAACTGGTATCGTGTAAACTGCTATTCAGTAAGATGATTAAATTGATATTTTATAAAATCATAGTATAAGTTTGTCAATACGTCATTAAGAGCACATACTTATCTATCTATATATTTATATAAAAATGAAAGTGTGTTTGTATGTATGTTTGTTTGTTTGTGCTTTATAGACTGCTAAACGGCTGGACCGATTTTCCTGAAATTTTCACAGTTTCTTCCAGTATGTCTGGAAGGAACTATAGGCTACTTTTTATGTGGGCGACGTGCCACGCCCATATTAAGAAAATAATTAATTCGAATATCTGAGATAATATAATAGTTAGAGTCTTCAAATTTTGTCGGAGCAACTTTAGTATCAATATAATTATTTAAGACAAAAAGTGGGCGAATTAGCATTAGAGGGCGTGGCACCTCCCATATAAATTAAATACAAAAATTTGTTTATCTTGGAAACTATTACAGTTAGAATATTAAAAATTTGCACGAGTAACTTTAACATTCATGTAAACATTTTGGGAAATAAGTTGGCGGACTACTCATGAGGGGAGCAGCACCTCCCATATTAATAAAATACAAAAATTGGTTTATCTGGGAAACTAATAGAACTAAATTCTTCAAATTTTGAACTAAGAACTTAAACATTCATCTGAAAATTTTGGAGAAAAAAGAGCGGACTTTCGTCATGGGGGGCTTGGAGCCCCCATATAAATTAAATAGGAAAATTATTATATCTGAGAAACTATTAGAGCTAGAATCTTCAAATTTTAATTGAAGAACTTTGACATTCATGTGAACATTCAGAGAATAACGGGCGGACTTTCAATGGGGGGCTTGGCACCTCACATGTGAATTAAATACAAAATTTCGCTTATCTGGGAAACTAATAGAACAAGATTCTTCAAATATTGCAAGAAGAACTTTATTATACATATGAACATTTTGGAGAAAAAAAGGGAGGACTTTCATCTGGGGGCTGTGAGTTCCCATATGAATTAAATAGAAAAATTCATATATCTGAGAAACTATTAGAGCTAGATTCTTCAAATTCTACATGAAGATCTTTGACATTAATATGAACATTTAGAGAATAACGGGCGGACTTTCAATGGGGTCTTGGCACCCCCTATATGAATTAAATACAAAATTTCGGATATCCGGAAAAATATTAGATTTTTTTATTTTTTTATTTGTCATCGATTACATTAAAATCTTAATTAACGTTCGAAAAAAATGTATCTCTGGAAAATATTACAGTTAGAATCTTCAAAATTATTAAGAAGATTTTTTATTTATATTGTTTTAGGGTAGCAAAGCACACTGGCTATAGCTAGTTTCTTATTTAAAATTGAGATTCTGGTCTTTAGTATTTCCATTACTACATTATTTAATATTCATTTAAAAATAAGATTGTTAAAACCATTATTTTATTTTTATTACTGGCCATAAATTTCTAAAAATCGCCTGCGCATTTTAGCAATAATGGCTGAATATGAATAACAGAATTACAAAAATGTCAATCAAATAATAACTATTTTAATAATTTATGGTTTTCACACAAGCGTTGATCAGCCAACACAACTCATCTATAAAAGGGAAAACATTGGGGTTATATCATGACAAAAAAATCCTTATTATAAAATCATATTAAAATTTTTTTCGAAATTTTATGACACGACATGTTTCCAATATAAACACTCCAGAAGTTTTGCATTTAGAATTTTTTGAACTTCATTATTTAGACAAATTCCCATGCAATGCAAATTAAGTGTTATTCTCAAAATTCAATTATTAAAGTATAAGCTGAAGAAACAAACTTAAAGTTAAATATAATGAATAAGATGCTTTTGATTACTTTTTTCTTTTTCTGTACATGTAGATATGTAATAAAATACAACATGTTATAACACAACCACTACTTATCTTTTAAACAACTTATC